CTTTTAAACAGAATATAAAAGAATCTTCATGAGAACTATGTCACATTTTTTTCATGTAAAAACCAGTGGCCACTATGTGAGAGCAATGAATAAATCTAAGTGGTACAAATTAACCAAAATTAAGCTATAGTTCTGTTTAATACTAAATTTTAATGAATAGGCTGCTATTTAACTTTTAAAATAACAAGTTGAAATTATGCTCTTATCTTTGAAACTTTTATATAATCTTTGATATCCAATCAATGTTGACTTTGGTGAAAAGTGCTGAAAACACTATTTCACAAAAGAACAAAAGAGTAAATGGAAACTGTAGATTCTATTGCCTGATGAAAATAAACATGTTAAGAAATAAGAATTCTCTTAGACTCTTCAGATAAATTCATGTTGCATCATTTTATTTGCTTTCAAGTTACTGAGATCATGTTTGGCAAGACCTGTATCATTAATGCTGTGTTAGGAAGGAAAAGATTATGACTCCTTGTTTTGCTTTTAAGATTGAAAAGTTAAACTCTAAAAAGAATGTATTTTATCCTGTAAACAGCAGTATCAGGCTATAGACTTTGTCTTCTGAAGCCAGTGAACTTACATATAGCAAAGAACTTTATAATGCTCCCATTTCTTGACAAAACCTCTCGAGAAGCTCTTGATTGAAAGTCTTGGCTTTCATAAATCTGGCAACTTTCATAATAGTAGATTTTTCATGACAAATCGTCTTGCACAGGCAATTAGCAAGGATTGGCACTTGAAACGGTAGAGTACTTTCACAACAGATAAGATTTCTTTCAGGATTGATGACAGTCTTGCACCCCAGTGCATACTGATGAAGATAGCAGTGGGTGACAGTGACACAGAGAGCTTCTGTCTTTACCAGTGCCCCAAAATCAAATATGTTGCCTGGCAGTAAGGTGTACTATCTGCCTACAGAATACTGAGGTTTCTTCAGGAGAAGTTTTTTGGTAAAGAAACTTTACTATTTTGAAAGTTTTCATGTTTTCTGAAGTTTCTAAAAAGGACTCCAAAATGGGAATGTTTTCTTGATTGTGTCCCATGTTTGTATTTGATGAAAATCTAGTAGCTGGCCATACTGAGAAATCATATCTGAAGAAAGGTGGTACTTTTAGTCTTCCTACTTCATTTTTTTTAATATCGGCGTTTTTGGTGGGAATGGATAAAAGTATTTGATAGAGGTACTGCAACAGTCTTTTCTGCTTCATGCTCCAAATATGTTTGACTCTTTCTAGGATACTGGCCTTCACCCATTCAACTGTGTGACATTTTAATTTATTTAGCATCACAATCAATAGCCTGGTAGGGTGATTTAATCAAGGATTTTTAATTGGAACAAATAGTTTTTGTAATGGTCTAGGCTTTTCCAACTAAACTGTGCTCTCACATGTGGCTTCTTTTTCTCCCTCTTCCCTCCCTCTTATACACTTCCACCCACACACATATGCATACGTACCCTGTCTCATGTGCTGCTTCTTCAGAATAGTTGGCTGTGCTCTGCTGATGGTGAGAACTTGCCACTTTAAGAAGGACTTGGGATAGTCCATCTCATCATGTTCAGGGATGAAAGTAAAACCCAAGGATATTTAAACTTTATTTTCTGTTTCCAGTCCAAATTAAATCCAAGAGAAGTCTCCATAATAAAAAATTTGCCAATGGGAAGATACTCTCGTCATCACAACCTGGTAATACTATCAATTCTGTTTCTCTTCAGAGTTCAGGAAAAAATATTTGATGAAATTGTAAGTCCTGTAGGATGTTATGAAGTAGGGCCAGAATGAAAGATAGCAAGAAAAGTAGTTATGAAAATAAAATGCAAAGCTTATAGTATCGTGTGGTAAAATGTAATGGTACCTACTTCATCAGTAGAACCACTCTAGGCATCTTCTCCATCCTTTGTGTAGATTGGAAGATCCCCCAAGTGAAAGGAGATGATGGGCAAATAGTAAATAGAAAATGGAGATCTGTACATGTAGTGTTAAGAATGTAAGTAGTAAAATTGTAATGTTTCACTGTTACATAATATTAAGACTCAGAGTTAAGGAATTTCACTGAAGTTGATCACTTTTTTTGTATCTTGGAGTCAAAATAAATAAATCTACTATACTTGGCTCATGCTTAATTAGTATACTTGGACCATATTATGGATGAATTATTCACAGGATCTAAAGGAGTATTCTAATGTGTTCTTACCTTCTTTATCCCTGTGTTTATTTAAAAAGGCAAAAAAAAAAAAAAAATTGTAGGAGCAGATGCTGTTGACCATATTTTACCAAACAGTAGCATTTGTGTTTTGACTGAAACAGCATTAGAAAACTAGATATGGATAAAAGTCAATGGTAGGTTTGTTTTTTTCTTCCAGGAATATTTCTTATAGATGATCAAAGAGGCCCAGAAAGGGGAAGTGTTGCAATCAATATTAATCCAGTTAATAATAGCATTCATAGTAAAATTTGAATCCTCTGATATACTGTTAAATTTCTTTCTACACTATCAAATCCGCAAATCCTGGAACTGCAAAAGAATTTTGAGACTGTTCAAAATAATTAATCCCTGTACAAGATGAGGCTCTCTTGCAAGGTTATGTAATGCTGATGAAATTAGCCTATTTTGAAAGGCTCCTCAGCTTTTACCCTTTCTTACAAATGCCAAATCATTTAGTGACCCCCGATTTAAAGAGAATTTGGATAGATTAAGGTTGTTGGTTTTGGAAATATAATACTGTAGGCTTCTGTAAAATATTTGAAATGTCATTGTTTTAAAACTTTCAAAGATACCACTTGTTTGCCTGTTGGTTAGAATGCTAGTGAAATAAATTTTAATCTTTTATGAATAATTTCATCATAAGAAAACTTAGCTAGGTAAAGCTGTTATACAGCTATGGAATTCTTCCTGAGAAGTAAATATCTTACATATAATTGATTATCTAAAGTAGTTTCTTTCATGGAATATCTGATAATAGGTTTATCCTTCTCTTGTCAGTATTTCCTTGTAGGTTGAGCCTGTGGATTTGCGTATTTTTAATTGTGAATCACTATTATAGGAGATACATACATTTTATCTACTTTGCAGTTTGGGATTAACTTTATTAGAATTATCTTTAATAAATGGGATTAACTTTATTAGAATTATCTGTAATGTTATTTTGCTTATATCCTTAACTTTATAGACAAACATTAAGAAACTAGAGAAAATTATGTTCTAGTGACATTTCTATAGAAGAATAATCTCTTTTTCCCCTTCTTTTTTGAAGAGAGATGAGGCAGTCATCATATTTTTGTAAAGAATTTGTAGACTTTGCAGAGCTCTCCTCAAAATAATCTGGCTCAGAGTCTTGGCATATCCTCAGCAGATGTGGTGCAAATTAGATGGCAGAGTGCTGGGTACAAGTTGACCGTAAAATAAGGCATTAGGTTAGTAATGCTCAAATAATACTTTGGGTTTTGAGTGTTACAGAGAAGTCAAACAACTGATACTTAATATAAAGAAAAATGTTCTGAGAGTGAAATAACTGCTTGAGGGAAGGAAGGCTTCTTCTATTTTTTATTCACGAATTTACAGGAAGACAATTGTGTTACACTTCCTTAGGAGTCATTCATTTGTGTATTTGTTACTTTGGCTTTACAAACATGCGACAGATTATTAAAATGCAAGCTGTGAGTGGTTTTTTTCTTCCAAGAAAGCATGCTGCAGGGCAACTTCTAGGGTTGGTTCTAATCTAGTCCTATGCTCCCACACAATGTGCATCTGCACTTAGGTTTCAGTATTAGATAGCTCACATGTTTATTTTAAACTATGAAGAAAGAGTTAAAACATCCTGAGAATGCTAGTAAGTGTGTATTTCAGAAGGACTCCCAAAATTTGAGTTTAAAGAAGTAAACTCCTGTTACATGACAAAGTTACTTAGAATCACTGCTGTTTCCCTCTCTTTCCCTTACCTTCTCCCTGTCCCATACATACTCCCAACTGTGTTCCAGAATGGTGGCACATAAAGTAATAAATATTAATTTCCTTTTTTTTTTTTTTGAAACAGAGTCTCACTTGATCACCCATGCTGGAGTGCAGTGGTATGATCTCAGCTCACTGCAACCTCTGCCTCCTGAGTTCAAGTGATTCTCCAGCCTTAGCCTCTTGAGTAGCTGGGATTACAGGTGCACACCATCATGCTTGGCTAATTTTTGTATTTTTAGTAGAGGTGGGGTTTCGCCTTGTTGACCAGGCCGGTCTTGAACTCTTGATTTCAAGTGATCCACTTGCCTCGGCCTCCCAAAGTGCTGGGATTATAGGCATGAGCCACTGCACCCGGGCCCTTATTTTTTCTTTGGTTAAACTTTTAGGAAAAAAGTTTGAGCCGCTTTTAATTTTGTTTCTGTTTATAAATAAATTATTAGAGATAAACTTTTTGTATATTAGGAACTCTGTGTATATGAGTTCATTGAGCATATTAATGAGGATAAATCTTCTAGAAATAATAGTTGTTAACTTTAAGTGATCTAAAGAAAAGGAAAATTTTTAGTTTTCTGGGGAATGAATATTCATGACCTTATCTTAAATGAGGTTATTTTTTCTAGTCTGTTTACTAAATTTCTACATGTTGTAACCTAATGAAATTTTATTTCCCCTTTATTTAAAACAAAACTATAATTACTGTCTGTTAAAAAATCTTCCCATCTAGCATTCTTATTTTTTCTAACACATTAATTTTCCTGGGCCAAACCATGTTCCTGATATGCATTATTTAAGGCTGTTATATAATACAATAAAGTTGTAGAAGTTTCATACCTTGAAGAATCTTAGCACTTATTTAATTCAGACTCATTCTAACATAGATGATAAAACAGATCTGCAGGGTTGGGCACAGTGGCTTATGCCTATAATCCAGGAGTTTGAGAGCAGTTTGGGAAACATAGTGAAACGCTCTCTCTACAAAAAATATGTATATAAAAATAGCCCGGCATTGTGTCACGTACCTGTAGTTCCAGCTACTTGGAAGGCTGAGGTGGGAGGATTGCTTGAGCCTAGGAGGTTGAGGCTAGAGTGAGCCATGGTCACACCACTGCACACTAGCCTGGGTAACAGATTGAGACCTTGTTTCAGAAAACAAAACAAACAGATCTACAAAGATCAACCTGTCTTAAGTCAGTCATATAATCTCTTTGTATAATAACTCAAAATACCATCTTCTCACCTCAAACCTGGTGCTTTTTTTTTTTTTTTAACAAAATATGTTCTGTCCAAATTATTTTGTTATTTTGATTCCTAAAATAGAAATAGAAACTAAGAAAAATAAAAAGCAACTCCTTTATAATATATGAGGACTTTTTCAGTTTCAAATCAGAAAAACCCAACTCAGAGTACCTTAAACAAAAGGAGACATTTATTCACTTACATAACCTAAAAGCTCTGACCTGGATTCAGGTGCTCAACAGATCTCAAGAATATTTCTCTTTTTCTCTCTCCCTTCCTTACCCTCCTCCTCTTTTCTCTCTTCTATATGTATGTTATTTTCAAACACGCTCCCACAAGTAGTGGCAATATATAGTTCCTAATAGCTTCAGGTTTACATTCTGCCTACTTTACCAACTATGATGGGAAGAGAGCTACAATTGGAGCAAAAATTTTTAGGGTGAGTTCTGATTTCCCTGGATTGAGGCACATGCCTATTCCCGAACCAAATATTCTGGCCAGGGAATGGAATTCTCTGGGACATGTGTCTAAAGCTGATGTATAGAACCTGCCACCCCCAACACAGGGATAATAATAGTTTTCCAAAGAAAAGTCAAGGAGGAGAAAGAATGTTGGAAGAGAGAAAAGTATCAGTTGTCTGTTTCATATTTTTTCTCAACAATTCTGTAGATCATCTACAACTATTTAGTGTATAGCTTACGATATCATAGAACTGAAATACTGTAACACTCTAAACTTTAGATTATTTGTAGACAGGAAAAATAAGAGATCAAAGAAGCTGTGACTTTATTCAAATCACATAGTTTCAAATCACATAGTTTGTATACATGCTGTTAATAAAACCCGGGATACCCGAGTACAAGTTTTAGCCTTATATTCACATTGAGGTCCAGTTCCTGGTTTTGAATGAGATAATTATGCATAGTGGGACTGTTTTCTGATCCACAAAATAGAGATGATAATATTTATCTTGTAAAGTTGTGGTAGTATTAAAGATACGTATAAATGTTGGCAGGTACCTTAATAGATGGTAACTACTGCTGTATGTTGTCATTGTAATAAAAGCCGTATTTCTTCCTTTGTTGAATTGCTTCCCTTTAGTAATCTTATTGTGATCATTCTGAAACACAGATTTCCGTTGCTTCTTCAAGCAAACACCATTATGTTGAAACATCTGCATTATTTCTAAGTTTAGCAGTACCAGTGGAAAGTTTACTGAAGTAGAAAATTACTTTTTTAACTAAGGAGTGTAGATTGTGAATTCATCTTAGAGAAGATGATCTGAATATTGATGCCTAGAATATGAACAAAACATTACATATCTTGTGCTATGATATTAAAGTAGTATCCTGTTCTGGTAGTAGTATGGCAGTATCTTAGGTCTGAAAGATGTATATAATCTGTACTTTAAAGTCTGTTTTTTAAGAGATTAATCACAAGAGATTTACATAAAACAAGTAAGATTAAAAATAAATGGTGGATTAGAGATACATCAGGCAAATTTAAATTTCAAAAGCAGATGACAGGGTCTCAATATCAGAATAGCGTTTAAAGCAAAAAGCATTAAACTGGATCAAAAATGTTATTTTACATTACACGGGGTCCACTCCAGGTGAAAACTTAGCAGTTATGAACCAATGTGCTAAGCATAACATCAAAATGTATTAAGCAAAAGCTGAAAGAAATGAAGAATAGTTGGTAGAAAAGCAGTGATAGGAATTTTTAATGTACTTCAAAACTCAAAAAGAAGGTACAGTCATGTACCACATAATGATGTTTGAGTCAGCATCTGACCTCATATGTGACAATGGTCCTATAAAATTATAATGGAACTAAAAAGTTGCTATCACCTGGTGACGTAGCCATTGCAGTGCAATGTATTCACTCATGTTTGTGGTAGTGCTGGTGTAAGCAAACTTGCTGTGCTGTCAGTTGTATAAAAAGCATAGCACAGACAGTTATGTTCAGTACGTAATACTTTATAATGTTAAACAAATGCTACTAGTCTACATGTTTATAGTACTATACTTTTTTATTATTTTAGCATGTACTCCTGCTTGTTTAAAAAATGTTAACTATAAAACATTCTTTAAGCAGATCCTTCAGGTGGTATTCCAGAAAAAGGCGTTATTGTCATAGGAGATAGCAGTTCCACGGGTGTAATTGCCCCATAAGACCTTCCAGTGGGACAAGATGTATAGGTGGAAGACAGTGATATTGATGAACCTGACCTTGTAGAAACCAAGGCTAAAGTGTGTGTGTATTTATTAGTTTTTAACAAGAGTTTATAAACAATAATAATAAATTTAAAAATAGAAAAAAGCTTATAGAATAAGGATATAAAGAAAAAAATTTTGTGTAGCCGTGCAATGTGTTTTAAGCTAAGTGTTAGAAAAGAGTCAGAATTAATTTTTTGTGTTTATAAAATGAAACAGTTATAAAATGCTAAGGTTAATTTATCAAAGAAAGAAAAAAAATTTTTTTTAATAAATTTAGAGTAGCATGTTTATAAAATCTACAGTAGTATACAGTAATATCCTAGGACTTTACATTAACTCACCACTCACCCAGGGCAACTTCCAGTCTTTCAAGCTCCATTTGTGGTAAGTGCCCTAAACAGGTTTACTATTTTTATATCCTTTATACCATTTTTACTGAACCTTTTCTATGTTAGATACACAAATACCATTGTGTTACAGTCACCTATGATACTGAATTCAGCAATATGCTGTATGGGTTTGTAAAGTAGGAAGTGTAACATAATAGCCTAGGTGTGTAGTGAGCTATACCATCTAGGTTTGTGTAAGTATATTGTATGATACAATGATGAAATCACCCAGATGCAGTTTCTTTTAAGCAACACAATACTGTATATAGGTGGCTTGAATAATAAAATAATGAAATGTATTTTTTCTGTCATTCATAAAACAGTTACCAATCTTACGAATTAGATCAACTACAAAACAAAAATCTCACTCAAAAATCAAAATTTATAAGTTCTATTTCTTGATTACAATTCATTAGAACTGGAGTTTTTTTTTAATGTTCAAATTTATATGGAAATATAAAACCATGTTTTAAATAGTTTTTGATTCAATGAGGAAATGTAAACTTACATTAGAAATTAAAATTAATAAGTAGAGATTTATAAAGGCAAAAATGTATCATTTGAACTAATAAATCTAAATACTGATTGCATGAAATTGCCAATAAAATCAATACATATTTTTAAGCCAGTCAAGGAAAAAAGAAAAGAGGGAAACTGAAAACAAGACATTAAGCATGAGAAACGAGATAAAACTACAGTGTGGAGGTGATGTTAAACATTATATTCACGTTTGTGCTAATCATTTTGGAAATTTCAATGAGAAATGGGCAATTTTCAGTGAATATGTCATCGTAAATGCTTTAAGGCAAGAGAAAAAATCTGAATAGACCCTGCAATAATGAAAATGTCTAGGAGCCCTCAAGAAATATTTGGTTTAAATTGCATTTCAGGTGGCTGCTTATCAAACCTTGAAGTATCAAATAATTATGTTATCTAAATTGGACCAGGTGTTAGAAACTATGTAAGACTTTACAGGTGGCTGCTTATGTAGCCCTTATACCTTAATCTGATAAAATAGCTTATATTTAAAAAGAGAGAAAACCAGAAAGTACAATTCAGGGAAAATTAATTTTTTTCCATTTGGCCAAAGTAAGAGTACATTCAAGGGAATTGTGAGAGGAAAGAGTGGAAAAAGAGGTTGGAGTTATATTTTTATGCTGTGATTAAATTATAGTGTGTGATAAATTGCTCTTGTTTGGGTAGAATACCATTTAACATTTTGGATTAATTGGCAACTGGATTAACCTTAATTAAAAAAAATCTGAAAGTGGTATAAAGGATGGATTACAGAATGGATAAAGGGTAATAAATCAGTTGGCTATGGCAAAATTGCAGGAAGAAACTGAAAGAGGCCACAGAAAACCGAAGCTGACGTTTTGAGTAGTATTTTGAAATCAAAATCTGGATTTTGTCAACTGAATAGATGTGTAGGAATCAAAGATGAGTAGACTAAATGAACTTAATCTTGATTTGTCTCTCATTTTAGTTTGTAACGTTAGTGTGTATGCATGTATGTGCCAGGTAGTTAATATGCTGTGTCTCTTACCTCCATTCTGCTGCCTGGGCTTTTGCCATAGTGCTGGAGTTCCCTCACTTCTCTTTTCTGTAGCCCTGTTATATCACAGCTGTCTTTCAGCTATGTTTCCTTCCTCAAGCATAAAGAAGATGGCAGGATCATATCGTAGTTGATTAGAAGCTGGGGATGTAGTTGCTGACTAGTGCTGGGATAATATCTACTATATCTGTGCATATAGTAATTGACTAGTGATAGGATGATACCTAGTTCCATTACATATGAAGATAAATGACCTTACTTCATCTATAAAATGTTTTATCAATAGTACCATTCTTACATGGTTTTATGAGTATTAAATTATGCATTTCTAAAGACATTTAGAGCAATATAAAGAATATGGTATGGGCTCAATAAGCGGTGGTGGTGGTAGTTATTAGAAGGCCTTCTAGTGCTAAGAAAATAGTGAATATCACTGATGGAAATAAAGTTTTCCACATAAAAAAGCTTCGGTTTTTGGAAATGTGTGTTTTAAGTATTTCTGAGATTACCAGGTAGAAATTCCAGCCAGATGTTGGAATTATGCACTGGCAGTTGGGAGTAAAGTCATATTGAGGGAGATAAGTTTTGGAGTTATTATGTAAAATTGGATAATTAAAGCACTGGAATAGATTGGATTGACAGAGGGGAAAATCTTTTGAGATATGCCTATATTTAGCAACAAGAGAAGAGACAACCAATAAAGGTTGGAAGAAACCGTAAGAGAGTAAGTCCTATGACACAAGCAGGGAAGTTTCAGAATGGGTGGAAAAAAATCAGCCAGGCTCTTCCTGTTCTCCATCATGGTGCAGGATCAAGGTGAAAAGGAGAACCCCATGCAGAAACTTTGCATGTGCAGACTCTGCCTCAACATATTTTTAGGAGAAACTGGAGGCAGACTGACTTGAGTAACCAAGGTGTTGGAGCAGCTCACAGATCAGAACCCTTCGTGTTTGCCAAAGCTAGGTGTACTGTTAGATCCTTTGGCAACAGGAGAAATGGAAAGACTGCCGTCTGCTAAACAATTCGAGGAGCCAAGGCAGAAGAAATCCGGGAGAAAGGTCTAAAGGTGCAGGAGTGTGAATTAAGAAAAAATAACTTCTCAGATACTGGGAACTTTGGCTTTGGGATCTAAGAACACATCGATTTGGGTATCAAATATGACCCAAGCATTGGTATCTACAGCCTGGACTTCTGTGTGGTGCTGGATAAGCCAGGTTTCATCATTGCAAATAAGTGCAGGACAGGCTGCACTGGAGCCAAACAGAATCAATAAAGAGGAGGCCATGTGCTGATTCCAGCAGAAGTATGGTGGGATCATCCTTCCTAGCAAATAAATTCTCATTTCTACCCAAGAGGCCAATACAAAGTGTTCAGTGAAATGTTTAAAAAAAAAAAAAAAAAAATCAGCCAGCAGCCAGGATTGGACTGTGAAAACAGTAGAAAATTAGTTGTTGAGAAAGCATTAATGACCATTAAGAAATCAGCCTCAGGTGGGCGTGGTGGCTTATACCTGTAATCCCAATACATTGGGAGGCTGAGGCAGATTTCTTGAGTCCAGGAGTTTGAGGGCAGCCTGGGCAACATGGCAAAACGCTCATTTCTACTAAGTAAATAGATAACCTTCATTTCTACTAAATAAATAAGCAGACAAGCAGGGCTTGGTGTTAATGCTCCTATACTCCCAGCTACTCAGGAGGCTGAGGCAGTTGAACCTGGGAGGCAGAGGTTGCAGTGAACCAAGATTGCACTACTGCACTGCAGCCTGGGTGACAAAGTAAGACTATGGCACACCTCTACCCTCCAAAAAGAAATCAGCCTCATAATAACCAGTTTCTCTGGATTAAGGAGTAAGAGCTTCTCAAGAATTGCTATTTATAGAGAGGGAGGCTGATAGTTTGAGAGAGATACAGAATCTAGGGAGAGTGTGGGTTTTTGGTCTTTCAGTTTTTTGTCAGCTCTGGATAAAGAATAAAGATTACCTGAGCATATTATTTAGAGACAGATGGAGAGAATAAAGGCACATGGCAGATAGGAGATAATTAATAAAGCACTTGCCCACAATAGACCCTCATTGAACAGGAAAAGACATCAAGCATGAAGAGATTTTAAGATGGGAGAAGGGAATTTTGAGTGTTCATGTTGGATGATCTCAGGGTTCCCAGTAAAATAGGAGCTGAATTCATTGAAGATGTTGTGTTGGTCAGGATAAAAATTGAGGTTGGGAGAACAAAGTGCTAAAAATCATTGTGGTCAAGAGTTTAATAAATGTATACCCGAAGAGTTATTGAGTGATACGGGTTTGAAATAGGCAAAGGTATAGGAAAGAGGGCTGGAAGGAATATTAGGAGGAGCACTAAATGGAATACTTTTGAGGTCCACCTCCTGGTCTGTGAACATAAAGGAGTTGAAAGAGTAATGGCTGACTTTTGAGATGATGGCCAGGAATGTGGTGCTAACTTTAGCTAAAGTTAGAATGTGTTTAAAGTTGTATTTGAGCAAAAAAGGTTAAGGATACAGTTGACTTTGATAATGTGAAAGCTAGGAATGTCAACCCCCTGCACAGTTGAAAATCTGCATATAACTTTTGAGTCCCTAAAAACTTAACTACTAATAGCCCACTGTTGACCAGAAGCCTTACCCATAACATAAACAGTCAATAACACATATTTTGTATATATATTCTTACAATAAACTAGACAAAAGAACATGTATTAAGGAAATCATAAGGAAGAGAAAATACATTTACAGTACTGTACTGTATTTATTGGTACCATACATTTATGTCTTCTGTTTACAAGGTGAAGCATCTGTCTGAAATGGCCAGCAGCTACAGCTGTACATATCTACTGTACATATCAAGCAAGTCAACTTATTCTTGTAATGTCATGACTTTTGTCTACTTCTTGAGAGCACTTCCATCACCACTATTGGCACCTCATATGGGTCTCAGGGTGTTACGGTTTACAGAGTTGCACTAAACACAATGAAAAATACACAAAGAACCATAAGAGAGATAGCTTTTTATTGCAATATACAATTTACTGGAGAGATGAGCTGCTCATACAGAGATGATTAGTGTCACACAGTGCTTTAAACAGATTCTTGCAACCCTTGAGCTCATTGCAGTAGCCACAGAAGGTATCTATGAGATTTTAACGGTAGTACAGCATGTACTACAGTTAATATTATGTAGCTATGATTTAATGCTGCATCTTTGCATTTGTTTACATGGTATCATGTCTGGTCTTAAAAATTCTATGCATATGTTATAATGCATTTTAACTTTTTATAATAGACTTGTATATATCTTATGATAGTAAGTGATAAAACAGACTGATAATCTACTTATATTTTACATATTCATGACATAGACCTAACTTTTTCTTAATTTTTTAAATATTTCTAGGCTATGTGTTTCATCTGCAGGTTTTATAAAATTGTTGCAAATCTCTGAAAAATTATTGAAAAAAATCCAGATTTATATATATATATATATATATATATATATATATATATATATATGGACCCACACATTTCAAAACTGTGTTGTTCAAGGGTCAGCTGTATAAATAATTTTCTTCACAATTAAAGTGAAAAAGGAGAGATACTACTAGTAGAAAGTAGAACTATACCCTCAGAGTGTGTGTGTGTGTGTACACACACCTACATATATAGTTACAGATAAATTTAACTTAAAAGTTTGTGGTTAGAGAATAAAACTGGCCCTTGATAGTCTTAATTTACATAAAAAATGAAAAATTTAGGCCAGGCACAGTGGCTCACGCCTGTAATCCCAGCACTTTGGGAGGCCAAGACGAGCAGATTACTTGAGGTCAAAAGTTCAAGACCAGCCTGGCCAACATGGTGAAGCCCCATCTCTACTAAAAATTAGCCAGATGTAGTGGCACATGCTTGTAATCCCAGCTTCTCAAGAAGCTGAGGCAGGAGAATTGTTTGAACCTGGGAGGTGGAGGTTGCAGTGAGTTGAGATTGTGCTGCTGCACTCCAGACTGAGTGACAGAGTGAGACTCCGTCTCAAACCACCCCGCCTCCAAAAAAAAGAAAAATTTGAAAACATAGAGTATGTTTTAATCTCCAAGAGCTTTAAAATTCAGCCCTTAATTCATATGTATAAGCTTCTTCTGTAAAATTTTAATTCAGTATGGACTTTCCACTCATTTGAAATCCTGTATTGCAGATATTAATTCAGTTTTAGTGAGTTTGCATCATGGCTTAGAATGAGAAGGTCACATTGGAGACTCTGGAACAGATGCATGTGAGCCTCCCAACTTTTTAATTTTTGTTAATCTAGAAGTGTTGAATTTCTGGTGCTGACAAGGCAGCAGGTAGATAAAAATTGCAAAGTTAAGAAATAGACTAATTATGCATAATTTTGATGGTAAACTAATTGATTAAATTTTAAGTATGCTTTTGTGTAACTGCATCTGATGTTTGATCCTCATAGGAACCCTGTTAAGAAGGAAAGGTACATATTATTGTCCTTGTTTTCTTTCAAAAACACATAAGAGTTTGTATTTTGACTGTCAGCATTCAAATTAAGTCTTTTGATTATAAAATATATGGTCTTTACACTGTGGCCAAAATCTTAAATCAGTTATCATGATTTGAAATGGTTTATACCTATTTTTTAGACATTTATACATATATACATGTTTTTAAATTGTCTATAATATCATGCTCATCTTTGAAAAGATGCTAGAAATACTACAGTGGATACCTACATACTTGCTATTCGATGTACCTGGTTTTTTGTTGGTTTGTTTTTCCAGACAGAGTCTCTTTCTGTCTTCCAGGCTGAAGGGCAGTGGCATGATCTCGGCTCATTGCAACCTCCGTCTCCCAGGCTTAAGTGATTCTCATGCCTCAGCCTCCCAAGTAGCTGAGACTACAGGTGCACACCACCACACCCAGCTATTTTTTTGTATTTTTGGTAGAGATGGGGTTTCACCGTTTGGCCAGGCTGGTCTTGAACTCCTGACCTCAAATGATCAGCAAGCCTCGGCCTCCCAAAGTGCTGGGATTACAGGTGTGAGCCACTGCGCCTGGCCCATTTTAAAATATGCTTTATACTTTTCATTACGAAGAAGAAGGATATCCAGAATTTTTAACACATTGGGGGGATTTAGATGCCAGTAGTAACTTCGAGAAATAATTGCAAATTCTTTTTCCTCTTGAGTATACCTTCATTTAAAGTAGTTTTCTGTAAGTTGCTTTGCACAGTTAAACTTCTTAATGTTGTTTATTATTTGCCTTATATTTCTAGGTTGAATTTTTCTTAAGTCACGTGTCTAATAGAAAACCCCCTAAATGCCTCATTTATTCCGTATCATTAGTGAATGCATTGTTGTACATATTAGATTTTTCTCTTTAGATAACTCAGTTTCCCCTATTAAATGCCATGTGTATTATATATATTTATGTTTTATTTTTTAGTAAACTATTGAGAACTAGATATATTGTAATCATTTGTAATACTTATATTTTTAAAAACATTTTGTTTTTCCCTGGTTTCTTCAACAAAGAGATACATGTTGTACAGGGATAGCTTTACCTCTGTTGGAGGATTATTGCACACATTTACATCAACTGCATACTCCTGTTTTTGCTGGGCTCTAAGGCCAGCATTACTTTTTGCTACTGCTGTTTCTGCCTCCTAAAGGCAATATGCCTCGATCTAGTTTGCTGATTCTGATATGCTTTCCCCTGGAAAGTAGGTAATCAAGTTTGTAAGGAACTGTGTGTTTAAGGAGCCCATAAATCTTTATGAGGAACACTAGGTGTAAAAAGTATAGCTGTAGGGCAGAGGCCTTTGACACGTTTTGCATATTCAGTGGCCTTTGCCTATGGGGTTCATGGGTCAGAGCGCTGTTGTGACCTTTGAATAAATGGGGTGTTATGATAATTGTTTTAAGGGAGAAGAGTAATTCTGATATTATCCTTAGTATTAACATTGCTCTAATTTATTATTGAGCTGGATTTAAGTATTAATCATTTAAGGTCAAATTTCTAATGTATATATGTTCTTCAATGGCAACAACCCAGTTACCATAGCAATTTAGTGAAATAACTATAATGGAACATTTTTTTTGAATTTGGCTTCTCTTTTTTTTTTTCTGTCCACCAGGGAGTAACTATTCCCAGTCAGAGGCGCTATGTGTATTATTATAGCTACCTGTTAAAGAATCATCTGGATTATAGACCAGTGGCACTGTTGTTTCACAAGATGATGTTTGAAACTATTCCAATGTTCAGTGGCGGAACTTGCAGTAAGTGCTCTAAATTCTCATCCTTCCATGTATTGGAACAGTTTTCTTATCATATCCAAAAGTTTATATAAAAATTTAGAAAGAAATTTACCATACTTAAAATTTATGCAGGAGACTATATTTCTGAAGCATTTGAACAAATTAATTAGCTTGGTTGTTCAAGTCATTGGCCTAAAGAAGCCAAGAGCAATGGTTTTTAATGTAGTCGAAGCCAAATTATATTTGTAAAAGAAATATTCTGTGCTATAACCACCAAATACAGCCCACATCTCACCAGCTGACTGAAAAACCTGTCCCATCAGAGGTCCAGCATGAGGGTAGCAGAGAGATTCAGCAATTTGCTGGTCTTACGGGAGGGATCAATTCCTTAATATCTTAGGAAGACTAGATATTGACAGTAATAGTGACAGAAAAGGAAAGGAAGAAGTGATAAGACATGGCAGCAAGCCGAAGTATAATAAGGAAAGAATAGGAATCAAAGTATGTGGAATGTTAGAGAAAACCTGGATTTAGATCTAGATTCCAGTCCTAGATCTGCCATTAATCTACTGTGTAACCCTGGGCACATCATCTACCTCTCTTTGAGTTTGCTTGTCAGTAAAATGAAGAGACTTTGAAATCTGAAACTTCCTAGATAAGTACTAAGTACAGATTATGTCACTGATGTCTGCCTCTAGTTTATTTCTCCCTTTTACCCTAACCTCTGTAAGTGTACCTCAGTCATCCTGATCCTATTCTACTTCTCCAGTGTTGTTTATCTTTGTCAAATAGGTGTGATCATCATCGTGAGAATGTTTCTGTATTCTTAGAGACAGGTAATTTTATCAGAGATCACAGATTTATTAGTATAGCCTGTTAAAACCTTCTAAAGAGTCTTATTGATGCTCTTTTCATCTCAGTACAATTTTTTAAACTGCTAAACATAAGGTACTGGGCTGTTGGAAGTGACTGACAAAGGAATGTAACCGATTCATAGAGAAGGAAAAAGGAAGAAAAAACTTATGCTCTTCCTATAGTATTGATTTCAGTGTAAGAGCCAAGAGAAAGGTATAAAGTATCATGGAGTTATTAAGAGAGAAAAAACATTCACTTTAGTTATCTTTCCTAATTTTCTAGTTTCTTCTTATGTTCTGTGATTTAATACTGTAGTAAAGCTTTAATAAAATATGAGTTATATGTAATTAAATGGGAGGTTGTGAGGCTAGGTGCAGTGGCTCACGCCTGTAATCCCAGCACTTTGGGAGGCCAGAGAAGGCAGATCTCTTGATCTCAAGAGTTCCAGATCAGCCTGGGCAACATGGTAAAACCCCATCTCTACTAAAAATACAGAAATTAGCCAGGCATGGTGGTGTGCGCCTGTAGTCCCAGCTACTTGGGAGGCTGAGGTAGGAGAATCACTTGAATCCGGGGCACAGAGGTTACAGTGAGCTGAGATCGTGCCACTGCACTCCAGCCTGGGTATCAGAGTGAGTCTTTATGTTAGAATAATAAATAAATAAATAATAAATAGGAGGTTGTATGTATAAATTATAAATGCTGCATTCAGAAAAACGTTTGAAGGTTGTCAGTTTCTTAAAGGAAGTTCACCAGCTCTTTAATGAACGTTAGAGAAAGCATACAGTTTTCGACTGGCATTAAAACTAAAAGAAGTGGCCTAACGCAGTGGCTCATGCCTGTAATCACAGCACTTTGGGAGACCGAGGTAGATGGATCATCTGAGGTTCAGGAGTTCGAGACCAGCCTGTCCAACATGGTTAAACCCCCGTCTCTATTAAAAATACAAAAATTAGGCATGGTGGCGTGTGCCTGTAGTCCCAGCTACCTGGGACGCCGAGGCAGGAGAATCACTGGAACCTGGAAGGCAGAGATGGCAGTGAGGCGAGACTGTGTCACTGCACTCCAGCCTGGGCGACAAGAGGGAGACTCTGTCTCAAAAAAAAAAAAAAAAAAAAAACTGAAAGAATTATTATACGCAATGGGAAAGAGCTTGAATTGAAGTGCAGCAGAAGGAAATTAGCTGGATAAGAATGTAGTGATGAAGAATAGACTAGAAATGGAATGTGTGACTGACAGTTAAAGGATCCTGAGTGGGGATAACAGACTTGACTTGATAAATGCTGAGATGTCATGATAATACTTGAGGCTTAAACCATGTTGTAAGGACAGTTGTATGTAAAGTTATAATTGCAAGGGGAAAAAATAGTGGAAAGGAAACCAGTAATACAACTTG